ATCCCAATTAGCTGTTAGACTTGTTAGCCCAGGCTGCAAAAGCCTGGAGGCACTCTGGGTGCATTGGTCCCAGTGGCTCTTTCCTAGCCCCAGGCTGCCTAGCTCTGCCTTCAGAGTGGAGTTCAGGGCTGGGACGAATTAGGGGTCCCAGGGGAGCAGGATATTGTTCTAACGGCCCTTCACCCCCTCTCCAGGACACTGACAGATCTGCTGAAGCAGCCAGGCCACAGCCCCTCTGAGAACATGGACAGCCTCATGGGGGGTGTGCAGGTCCCACTGAGTGAGGGGCTGGCTCGGGGTCCCTCCAGAAACAGCACAGGTAAGGCACTGGTATGGTGGGGAAAAATAAGTTCCTTTGAGTGAATAAAGGTAGTGGGAGGGCACAGCCTACAGCTGAGCCCCCACCCGTCTCTGCCCCTCCAGACAAGCCACCCTTGAACAACGCAGTGGCCATTGCCCCTTCACTGGGGCGGCCCCACAGCCATGGCAAGCGCCTGCCTCTGGCCAGCAGCCTGGCCCTCTCAGCCCCGGACTACACTTCCTACACCACCCTCAAGGTTGGAGGTGAGTGCCTTTGCTGTGGGGGTGGGATGGTGGCTGGAGGCGTGCACCCTGTTGACCCCAGAAACCAGGTGAGGAGGGGCACAGGGCTCACAAAGGGGCACAGGCAGGACAAGCATTCCAGTTTCCCAATGCTCCTGGGGTCACTGCTCACAGCAGAAACTTTGCAGCTCCTCCACCACTCCACCAGCCAGCTGTGCTGCCCAGCCAGTCAGTGCCCAGGGTCTCCCACGGATCCACTGCGCTTCCCAGTGACCCAGAATCCCACACAGCCCTGAAGCACTGCCCACCCCATCAGGGTTCAGGATCCACATGGACACTCCGCACTGCCCAGCAATTGGTACCCCAGGATCTCCCAGCATCACTGCCCAGCCAGTTTATTGCCAGTATCCCTCCCTTAGCACCCAGAATCCCTCCTACAGCCCCATCCCAGCCTTCACCACTGCCCCCTCCCTGGTCCCCCGTGCCAGCAGAAAGGGGTGTCCCTGCAGGGGTGACACTGCACTGTCCCCACAGAGAGCGCCACCGAGGACTTCTACAGGCGGTTCGGGGGGCTGGAGCCACCCCCCGCCAGCACACTGACCTTCCCAGCCGAGGCCCCGGTCCTGGCCGAGGGCTGCCCCCTGCCCAAGGCCAAGGGCACCAAGGTGCCAGGGGGTCTGGCCTTCCCGGGGGGCTGGGAGGGGGGCCCCCATCGCGGCCCCCGCCGGCCGGGCCTGGCCACCCTGCGCCCTGAGGGGCCACCTGAGGCCTTCGGCCCCTCCGCCTCGCTGTACGGGCAGCACTCCCGGCACTTGGCCACCAACAGCAAGACCGAGGTCACCGTCTGACGTCCGGTGCCAGCGGGGACCGGGGCTGCCCCTCAAGGGGGAGTTGCGGCAATCGGGGGCAGCCCACCGGAGGAGGAGAACACCACAGGACTTACACAAACCGCGACGCTGGCCAGAGCGGGAGACGCGCCGTCCTTCCTGGCCCCAGGGATGGGCACTGCCACCTGCACTTCACCATCGAGGAGGCACTGGGGACTCATCCGGAAAAGTTTCAGGCGTTCTCAGCCCACGTCCGGAAGAGGCTGAGCCGGGGACACACTGGCCATAGCCTGCTCAGGGGATGGGGGCCAAGGCTGGACAGACTGGGAACAGATCCTGCTGGGGCCAGGCACCCCCATTTGGCTCCCCTGACGAGGTGGGGGAAGAGCAAAAGACTCAAAGCACCGCCCCCAAGCTGCCTGCACAGCCCGAGCAGCACCCTGCCCTCCCCAGCCTCCTCCCTGCCCCAGCCTCCACCTTGTCAATAAATAACACATTAAACTGTATGGCCTTGGCATGAATTGGCTGGGGAACTTCACACTCCTTACAAAACCTTCCCCCGGGGCAGCAGGGCTCAAAGCCCACTCCCCCACAGGGCGTGGGGAACCCCCCGCAATGGGGGATGTGGTGGGAACACAGCTTTAAGGGCCAACTGCAAAACCCTTCAAGCAGCTGCACAAAAAACAGATCTCCTCTGTCTGAAGTTTAATGGTTCTGACAGAGTTTTACCAGGGGGAGCAGAGAAACAAAGAGATGGAGCGAAAGGACATTGTTCTAAAGCAAGGTCAGGTAACAGCCTTCCTCCCCTAGAGAAGCTCCTAAAATTGCAGGCTTCTGGCCCAGCTCCACCTTGCTTGGCTCTGCTTGAGCCATCATCCTCTTGAGCAGCTTCCAGAGGAGCACGGAGACACCACACTTGCTCCTCCAAGGGACTTTCACTGCAAACGGTTCTGTTCTCTAGGTCATCTGGATAAAGGACTGACAGCTTCACGAGGCGCCTCTGAGGTTTTATGTCTCTAAAGGACTTTTCAAGCTCACCTCTGCTTAAGAGCAGCTGTTGGGTGGGATGAATAGAGCTAAGAGAAAGAGGGCAGGTGGGAGGTGGTGGTAACATTCATCTTTATTAGTTAACAGATGCTCAGAAGCCCTGGAAGAGGGTTTTCAGACAGCAGGTATGTTCCCTGGGGAACTTCCCCACCACCAGTTGCATCTCATATCACAAAGCATCCCTACTCTGAACTCCATGTGGATAAATAGACTTTCTTCACATAATCCATAAAACAATTTCCTCCCACCCACAAACCAAAAAGTTACAGTATATACACACACATATAAAAAAAGTTGTAGGGACAGATGGACAGCAAATTTTTGAACAGTGTAGAAAAAACAGGGCAAAGATCCCTCACTCTGGAGGGGGCAGAGACATACCAGCCATGCTAGAACCCTTGGTACTTTATGCTATTCACTATTTGGGTATCAGCCCAACAGCTTCTCCCAGCTCCTGGCCCAGCCAGTACTCCCTGCAGCCCAGCCCCCAGGGCTCAGACTACCATGAGTGACAAAGTGAAACCTCAGCATCACTGCTTTCCCAAAGCCTCACCTCCCATTTTACTGAAGCACAGAACTGCCCACGTGCTGCACACAGACCTGGAGAAATGCAAGGTAACTCAAGAGATTGCCACAGGCAAGGAGTTTCTGTATTTTAGGAAAAAAACTCCTTGACAAGGAAGACAGCATGAGAGCCACAGAAGAGGGGAAAAAAGTCAGGAGGAGGCAATCTACTCCCCCAAAACAGGATCACTGGTAAGCTCATGAACTTGGCAATGGGCAATCAAAATGTGTACAAATCAAGAGCTGTTCTGCACACGTAGGGTACCCGCTCAAAGCCGAAGTTGCTGCCACCAGAGTGTCCCCTACACTGATTGGACACTCTTGAGAGCAACCTCTTCCCCTCAAACAATGAGCTCCCCCTCCAACCACCAACTCCAGGAAGCAAGGGACACCCCAGCCAGTAGAACAGTACTGGCTATTGAAGCTGGGTGTCCACCAGCCATTCCCCAAACAAAGTGGGGGAGGTAGGCAAACACCTTCTGGTCCCCATGCTTTTGTCCACAGCTACAGACCACAATCACTGGGAACAGGCTTTGCTGGGAGACAGGTTTCTCCTGGCCCCAGTTTCCATATCCTTGAAGCCAGGCAAGTCCAGGAACAGCATTACCTGTGTTCAATTACTGCAGCATGCGAAACGGCCCTCCCACATGCCAAAAGACCCTGTGCAAAGGGAAACCACAAGCCCTTATCTTTCTCCTCTCATTTTGAAGGAGCTCATGCCTCTCTGCAAGAGCTGGATACATGTAAAAGCTTCTTGTAAAACAGTCCAAGTTTGCAGGAGCTGGGCAGTACAGGCTTGATTGGGACAGGATGGGTTTGGATGGCTGCCTGTATCTAAATGCTTTGAGCTGCCAACATGGAGAACATGCCGGCCGTACACATGGAGGAACAGCAATGCCCACTTGCCAAATGCTGGTTTCCACTTATGCACATGTGAGAGGGCAACCACTCTGCACTTCTTTGGAGAGATGCAACAGGAAAGGCAGAGAGAAAGAGGGCGAACCGTTCTCTCCCTGTCCCAAATCCACCTCCCACTCCTGGAAAGTCACAGGCAATTCAACACCTGCAAGTCAAACTGCTTGGAATAGCAACGGTAACAAAGCTGGGAGACTTGCACCCTAAACCAGTGCCTTCCAAATCCTGCAGAAGCTGTGGAGGAGTTAGAGAAGGTAAGGAGAAACACCTGAAGACAAGTTCTGGGACTGGGAGTTGAGTAACATAAAAAAATTGTTTCTAAAAATTGTTTCTGCATCAACAAAAAGGCACCAGAGAAGCATTCACCCTTCATGCCAAGTGCAGGGCACTGCATGTCCACCTCTGCTGCCACCCAGCACCAGATGACCAGGGATGCCAAGGTCTTCTATCAGGCTCTGCTTGTCGCAGTCTGCCACAAACCCACCCCCTGCTGAAAACTGGAGGCAGCTATCACAGGAAAAGACGCATGAAGCAGAAGGGAAAGGAAATCTGCTGCATTGTTCCCCATGTTTTTGTAAAGCCACAAACATTCCTATAAAAAAACCTGTATAAAAACTGTAGAGAAATTTTCCAGGCAGTACTGGCCCCAAGCGATACTCCCAGAGCACCTAGGTAAGTTGGGTCTAGGGGGCTTCAGTTTCCTGACACACAACTCAAGGAAAGCTGGTGCCTTCCCCTCTCTTTTGGGAACAGCCTTAGGTCCCAGCAGCCCCATGGGACAAGGCTTGAACAGATCCTCTGCCCTCCCCAGAGATTTCCTTTCTGCAGAGGTGTTTGGAAAGGGAACAAAATACCCCTGAGGACAGACACGGGATGTGCCACTTCTCTATGTCGTGGGCTTGTGGGCTTCTCTCCCAAGCAGGGACGGGTGATTTGTGTTGGGGCAGCGCTTCTCAACAGCCCCAGGCATAGTGACAAAAACCACGACTAGACAGATTCCTGCTGCAGTGCCTGAGAACAAGCAAGGAAGCTAGTAAAGCTAAACCTGGGGCAAGTTTAGAAAAAAATAAAACCCAAAACCCTCCCTCCCTCTCCCACCCTATCCTGATCCCACCAGCACAGCCCTAACCTAGCACTTTTACTAAGGTCCAGAAGGGAAGTCCAGGCCGATGCTCAACCAGGCTGTCTTTGCACAAAGGGAACCCCTGCCGGCGTTAGGAGGCAGCGATGGCCGTGCCCCCACTGAGCTTGACGATCATCTGCTGGCAGTCGTTGCAGGAGCGCTTGTCCCCCACCTTCTCCAGGGTGCGGGCAGCCTCGGCCAGCAGCACAGCGCGCTGGCCCGGCGACGACAGGAAGGACAGGGGGAGATGGCGGCAGGCCAGCAGGATGGCCGTGGCTCGCTCCCTTTGGCCCGGCAACGTGTCCAGTTCACCTATGGGCAAACGATGAAGAGAGAAAACCCGTAACAGAGCTACCACCTGCATGAGAAAACCCCACCACACAGCCCTCAACTGCTTCTCTGGCTGGCATCCCCTGGCTGAGCCAAGAGCAGGGGGCACCCTGAGGGCCTTTAGGCTAGCAGAGGAGAACACTGAGCTAGAGTCATGTAGGAACTGTCAGTCTGGTCTTCTACAGAGGCAGTTCCTTTCAGCTCACTTCCTAGGACTCAACCCAACATTGCCATTCCTGCTTCCCATTCCCTTATATCTTTCATCTTTTGGCTCTTCCGTTTAGTATTCCCAGCTTCTGCCTTTGCACTGACTGCTCCAAACCCCAGACTGTCAAGTTCTTTGCACTTGTAGCTTCATGAAGGCAAATGTTTTCCAGTCTGTTTGCCAACACCTCCAGCCCAGGGCTCGTAGCTCATGTTAGCTGGCTTGTAGAGAACATGGCAGAAGCATTGCCTTGAGCCACAGGCTGATGGCAGCTCATTATCCTGACACAGCAGGAGACACTGCAGGTTTTATCTATGCCCCCACACCTTGCCCAAGCACTGCCCCCTCCCCTCCCAGTCCCACATGCAGTGGGTCACTGCCTGGGCCCCAGGGCTGACCTTGTTTGCTGCTCTGGGGCGTGCGCCGCCTCAGGCTGTGCTCCAGCAGCTGGTGGGTGCGGGTCGGGCTGGCCCCTGCCATCAGGCGCACGGTGGCCTCGTGGAGGAAGACCTGGAAGGGAAGGCAGGATGGAAGATGAGAGGTGGGCTGGCACAGGGATGATGCTGTGGCTGAACTGTCATCCCTCAGCCACGACATTTCAAGAGCAGAGCACTGACACCTTGACAAAAACAAGAGACCCATTTCCACGCTCCTCCCTCATCTTTCCACCTGTCTCTGGGGAATTTGCAGGTCAGGGCAACCATGAGGAAGGGGAAAAAAAATTGACACCTAACTGTGAGTGGCCTGGAAAGGGGGAGGATTGAGAGCAGGGAACAAGGTTGAAAAATCTGAGAGCAAACTTGGCACTGTGGTCCAGGCAGGATTCTCAACCTATGCTGCTAGTGCAGTGCTTTGGTAACAGCATCAAACTTTGGAATCTAGAGTTTGGACAACACCAGGACAACTCTCGTGTCCAAATATTAGACTCTACTTCCTCAACAGAGGCTTAAAAGTAGATAAACTGAAGAGAAGCAGGGAAATGCCAAGAAAAGCACCTGGGGCTCTACAGATGCAGAAGGCATTTGACCCTCCAGCTACTCAGCAGAGCCAACACAGCTGAGGAAGCTTCCTTCCACACTCCCCAGAGGGACAGACCCAGTCTGAAGCCACCTTAATAGACAGGATGCCATGGTTTTGGCAATACACATGTGCTGATGGTTTTCCATGCAGAAACTAAAGGGGATACTTCCCCACATGCACTGAACTCCCACAGGAGCCTCCCTCATCCCCCACCAACAGAAAGTACAGAGGCTGGTAGTGGAAGAACATCCCACCCCAAGTATCCAAACCACCCAAGCTCAGATACACCCTGTGTTTCCAAGGGCACCAGCTTCCCATCACCCCAGGAAGGGCTGTAGACAAGCTGGAGGTGGAGCAGGCAGGGAGGCAAGCCATCACCTTGCGGTAGGCGGGTCTGAAGCTGTGGGCCAGCTTGCGCAGGCTGCCCAGGTCGCGCTGGAAGCCCGTCAGCTCGGGGGCTGAGGCGTGGTAGGTCTCACCCAGCGCCTGGCTGGCGTTGGCCTGCTTCTGCCACAGGCTGGTGCGGAGCGAGAGCAGCAAGTCACAGGCCAGCAGCTGGATCATCTGCAAGAGCCAAGATGCCCAGGCACAGGCTTTTAATAACACATAGCACCGGGTGAGTAACAAACTACATGGCTGCTGACACAGCCCATGGGAAGGAACCACAGCACCTCCTGTGGGGCTCCCCTGCCCTCCCCCCGCTGTGTCAGCCTACCACAAGGCACCAAAGGGAGCAAGCCTTTGCACTTTGCCCAAGTGGCATCTCTCGACTAAGACAAGGAAATGTGCCAAGGGCACATTGCATCAATGTTACATGCCCTTGCCTGCACCTTTCACAGGGATCAATGCTAACAAACACAAACTGATCCCATGGAAACAGCCTCCTGCAGAGGTTTTCCTGCCCAAAAAGTGACACTAACTAGTGGAAAAACAGCAAAGACAGCCGTGCCACCTGCAGAGAAAAAAAGAGGCAGTCACGGCACAGCCGACAGCAGCTGCCAAACCCCTTTTCCCCATCTGCTGCTGCCCCCTAGCACCGCTCCCGGCTCTGGGAGGGCTCTCTGCCTGTGCTGCTGAACAGAGAGTGCCTCTGTACTGCACTGCAGAAACATTGCACAGTCACTGCCACAACATGCAATGCAACTACAATGCACTACAGCTGCCACCCAGAACGACGAAAGGGACCAGAACCACGTCCCATATGCCATGGAGGGAAGCTCCAGTTTTATGTAATCCTGGAAAGAAGAGAAACAAGCCCCACACAAACTCAGGAGTAGCACAGCATAGTCACACTTCTGTGTCAGAGGATTCAAACATTCAGACCACATGAGTGTGGTCTGAAACAAGCAAACTTGACTTAGTGATTTCCTGTTTTACAGGTATCACCAAGTTGACCTGGAGGAGAGAGATGGATACTTTCCATCTCTGCAGGGCCAAATTCAAACTGGTCAAAGCACCAGAAAGGGGTGACAGCTACTGGCACAAGAGGAGCAAGAGCTGACACCATGCCAAGGGAGACAACACTGTACTTGTGGCTCTGCTTCCCCATACAGCAGAAACAGAACAATGGTAATGCCTTTTTCAAGGATAGGGAAGAAGCCTCCCCTCTAATCCCATGATCCACAGAGTGAATGGAGAATGCAGCTACAACAGAGAAGCGACACACCTGCAGCAAGACCAACCTTACAACCAAGACAGACCATGTGTTATCTCAGGGCTTACAATGCTTACATTGTTGAGGACAGTGCTGGATGTGCCACTGCTCATGTTGAGGCTGTTCCACAAGTGACTGCTGGCCCTCTCACAGTGACCCAGGGAGCTCTGCTGTCCATCTGCCTTCCCAGACAGAGAGGCCTGCATAGCTTTACACATGTAGAAGGTAGCTTTCACCAGGGCATTCCTGAAAGAGAAAGCAGGTGGCTTTCAAGCAACACCATGTCATGCTGCTACAGCATCAGCTTTCACTCTCCCACCTTCAAGAGATATCATCACTCCTTAGACAGAAAAAAGATGACAATTGTTCCTCACCTACACACAAAGAACAGAGAAATAAGAGAAAGCTGGCAAAGATTCTTTAGTGCAAAAGAACAGAGATGGTGATACCATCCTTTCCATCATCATGTGAGTTTTGGTTGATTTTAGAAGGTGGGAGACTATGCAATTAGAACAAAGCCAAAAGACATCCCTAAAGAAGCAACTATGACTGTGACTTCCAGTCCACAGCTTTACTATCAGTCTGCAAGCCTTGACCTACACGTGAACTACTGAGCACACTGGCTCTTGCAGAGCACAAGAGACATGCAGCTCCAGAGCACAGGTAGGTGTGACTCTACAGAACAGCACTGGGGAAGGAGTCACCCCTGTTTAGAAGGAGCAGCAGTTTGAAAAGCGTACGAGGCCTACGCACTCTGACATCTCCAGGGACTTTGGCATGCGCTCCACTTCTGCAAAATGTGACCTCACAGCTGCATCGTCCCCTCTGAGCCAAGCGATTGCCATGGCCACGGCTGCTGACCACCACCGGCACACCACGTCGGGACCTGCAAAACAGAACCAGCGCCTGCAGCACCTGGCTCCCTCACACCTGGGGAAGCAGACCGGTATCACAGGCCCTTGGCAGTGCCTTCCTCTGGGATTGATGCTAATGAGCCCAAACTGATCCCATGGGAACTCAGCCACCCATGTGAATGCTGAAATGTGCTGCAAGAACACAAAGGAACTTGGCAGCCTGCAAACACCCTACATCTGACTGCAAGCAGAGTTTTGGATGGCATGTTTGTATCTTGTCAACAAGAATGTATTCCACCATCTTGTCTAGAAATTTGTTGACTTCCTTCCTGACAATGATCTCCACTCACCACCCCAAAATAACAACTCCAATCATATATACACTCATGATTGGCACTGATCACCATTAAGACAGTACATTGGGTTCCCTATAGAATTGCCTTCATTATTTAACATCCCCTCAAAAACTTCCCAAAGCCTGCTTAGGGCAAAAGGACATATGTTCTGCTACTCTAACCTGCTTTTCAATTCCATGGCAATACTGACCCAAGAAAAGACTTCCCTTTAAAAAAATAATTATTTAGTTTTCCTACTATGTTTGCTCTATACATTTTAGGTACAGCACTTAATCTGTGTCTAAAGCTGCACCAGCATCCCAGTGAGCTGCCAGGTGCCGTCTGTACCAACACCAAGCTAAACAAATATTCCAGCAGCCTGTTACCAAGCCAGCCCAGAGAGCACATGGCTCAGAGAGATTCTGCAGCCCTTGCTGTCCCACTAAATATACACCAAGGGACCAAACAAGCCCTCCCAATACATGCCCAGAGCTTGCTTACAGCAGAGGCTGCAGGTCTCTAGAGATTGAGGAATATATCCGACAGTCACTGTGAAAGTGGGGGCAACCCAGTTCAATAGGTAATTAAGTGGAAAAAAACCCTTCCTGTACTTCAACTGCAATGCTGCTGTGTTTGTTTATATGCTCCACCCTTCCTCTCGCTTTGCATTGCTAGGAGCAAGCTCTCAGGCGAGGGCACAGGGTTCAGACTGGAAATAAAATATTGCCCAACAACACAGATAGCAGCAGTCCCTGGCTGGGCACTCAGCATTATAACACAGAGCCAAATTTATAAGCCTTCTTAATTACTTTCTTCCAGTCTGAGCTGTGGTACCACACTGGCGTGCAATCAGGCCTCACTCCAAGGACTGCATTTCTCCTTGACTAGAGTTTGAGAGGCAGCAGGGAGAGGAAATTTGTATTGGCAGTAAATCCTGCATCTGAAAGTGCTTCAGTTCTGCCAGACTTACCCAGGGCAGACTTGAGTACGGAATTGCTGGCAAAGGGTGGGGCTCCACTTCCCATTGAGTCCAAGAAAGAGTTGAGCAATTTCAGGTACTCCATAGCACCCGAGAATTCACTGAAACAAGGAACAAGGCAGATCTTTGCTATGCTGTCAAACAGAAAATACCAAGGCACTTCTTGTTCACAAGTCATGTTTAAACAGTGCTGAACCTTTAAGCCCACAGAAAGTTCAAGCTCTACAAGTAACACAACACTGGTGGACTGAAGAGACCACCCCATGAATAGAAGTGCAGAGCAATGCTCTGAGAGGAACAGCTTCACACCTCCCCTTTCATGACCTCCAGCACAGAACTAGATTTAACCTCAAGGCTCACTTCAAACATAGACATACATTACAAGCTGATTATAGGCTCCTTTTCAGTGACTGCCTCCAAAAGAGGCTGAACTACACCTCTCTGATTATTTGCATATATACAAATATGTAAGAATGGAAGTGACAGTATGTTCTCAGCACTGGTCAGAGAAAATAGCATATGCAGCAATGACCTAATTTAACTGGGACATGCTACAGATGAAGGTCTTGAGCTCCCACCCCTAGAGTGGACAAAAAAGCTTGCTGCTGTACTAGATCTAGTCCTTCCCGTGAGGAGACAGGACTTCCACAAGTATAGTGACAACCCACCTCCCTTATACAAATCCTGTTACCTTCTCTCAACAGCAGCATCTGATCACCAGCAATTAAACCAATCTGTTGCTCCTTCTCTGCCAGGAAACGGACGAGATTGGGAAAAAACCCAAAGCTACAGAGTATTTTTCCTACACAGGTAGGGAAACTGAATAATCTTCCCATCTGAGGCTTTTACCCACACTTTCTGGGGACACGATCCTTACAGAGCTTCCCATATATGTATGTAACATTTGCCTGGCACCAGCATATCTGGAGATCAGCAAGAAACAGTGCTGAATTACTAGCAAAGGCTGGGTTCCTGCTTCCTGCAGAGTCCAGGAGAAAGCTGGACATGGTTCAATACAAAAAGCTGCTGTTTCCCACCTATTTTCTCTTTTCATTTGGTGAAAGAGCTTAGAGACAATGACAATTACGTTCAACATAATCTTTCCTCCTCTTGCCACGTGTCTGTTTGGTTCTTCACTGCAGGTAGATGTCACACTCAGTCAGAAGAACACCCATGCACAAAGTAGCAAGCTGGTGGGTTCACTCTCTGACCTGCCAGACCATCACACTCTAAAAGCCCCAGACATAGGTCCTGGTCTATAGAAGAGGTAGGTGCACGCTAATTTTTGTCCTCCCGAACATTAAACTTTGTCTCAGCAGAGAAAGTGCCATCCATTTAGTCGAGCAATCAACCAGAATTACCCCAGCTAACACCAGAAATCCCCACCACTCCCAGGTTCACCTTTGACTTGAGAGGTTTTAATACCAAGAGGCAGAGCTTACTCTGCTAATAAACAGTGGTGGTGAGACTAGCATTGTCATTCCAAGCCTTTAACAAGGACTTAACCAAGCATTTTGCCCCACAGCACTTGGTCAGTGGTTATGAGCTCTGCCTCAGAGCCTGCTGCTGCAGCCAGCAGTGCCCAGTGGGCCACACATACTCACCATGACTCCTCCTCCTCTTGTCCTGCTACCTCTTTCCTAGTCTGAGGCTTCACAAGTGAATCCACTGCTCGCTCTAGCAGGTTCTCACAGAATGCCTGATGGACCTGTGCAATGGGATCCGCTAGAGAAGAAGGATAAACCAAATAATTTAACTTGCATATTGCCCCAGACACCTCCAAATACACTCAGAAAGAAGAATCAAAATGTAGGAAATAGCATAATGAAGAATAGTAGAAGGAAATTCTCAAGAAACTAATTGAATTATTTAGAGACTAAGTTTTAGGGCTTTTTTATCCTTTCAATCCCCTTGTAAAGCTGCAGCCTTTGACCAAAGATCCCTCTTGCACTTCAGCCTCTCAGCAGAACAGTGACAACACTGCTCTGCAGAGGATAAACCTTGGTCACCTCAAAGTCACTCCCCAGACATTCAGGGTCACCTTTGGGTTGTGTTCCAGCATATAAAGACACAAGCAGTATGACACAGCATAGGATACAAAGGGTGGCAAGCCAGACCCTGCAGGCTGAGGAGACATCTCAGCTTCTCATGCCCTCTCACCCATCAGAACCACAAGCAGGGTAGGGATAAAAGAACACTCTCAAACATGACACCCACTTTTGTCCCAGACAAGAGTGGAGAGACTGTCTCAAAGTGCTGGGATGCCCCACACTTGGGAAATGAGTGTCTCTCACCAGGATTCCTCTGTGTGCAGTACAGGCTCTCCTTCGCAGCAGACTTCACCATCCAGCTTCGCTCCACAAAAAACTTCTGTCCCAGGGGGTGGCACAGCCAACGCAACGAGTCAGGAATGGCACTTCGCTCTGAGCTGCACAGGCTCTGAGCCTGGCTGAGAAAGTAGCTCTGGTGAAAGGAGAGGGCAAGATTGAGAACAGTGAGGAAAGAGCGGCACCACCAAGGACAAAAATCCTATCATAATTGCAGGTCATATTAGAATTGTAGTGCTAGTAGATGCCCTCTCCAAGATACAGCAATGCCAGCTTCCAGGCTTTCCTAGATCTGTGCTTGAGGGTGTGATCGGGGAAGATAACACAACTCACCGCCAGGAAACCAAGCTTGCCTCCACAGCGGGTTTTCAAGCCAACTGCAGCTGTCAGGTGGATTTCTGCCATTGTGCTGGGTGGGATTTTTTCTTCTGCACACTCAGCCAGATTCACAGCACACAATGCCATGTGCAAGCCCGAGTAAGCTGAGCTGGAGGGAAGTTTACCTGTACCAGCAGGAGAAGGAAAAGTGTTAATTTTTAATCAGTAGTACCAGCTACTAAATACTATCACAATTTGCAGGGCTACTATCCTAAAGAAACAACAAGAACCTATTGATAAGAGAAGCTTACACTGCTGTTGCTTCAGCTGTTCTTACAGAGTTCTTTTATTGCATGAACCAACAACTAAACCAAACAATAAGCCTCAACCAATAGCTGTTGCTACCAGCACTAGAAGTAAAAAGTGCACAAACAAGACTAATCAACCAGTAAATGATGATGATGCAAAAAAAAGACCCTCAACACTTCCTGACATAAAATCAAAAGTCAAAGCAACAAGCACAAGATCAGAAACCAATACTGAGTCCTTTTCCCTAAAAGACCTTCATGGCCTACAAAAAAATTACACTCAACAATCCAATAAATCCATAATTAATTAGTTAATCTGACTTTGAGATGCTGCAGATGAAATTATAATTCTAAACAGCACTGAAACTAAACATTTGAAATCCCAGTCACATAATCCTGCCATCGACCAATGAACCTGTTGTGTTTTATTAAGTGCCTCCTAAAATTTGTCAGGCTAATTTCTAACAGCAGCCCTCCCAAAGGAGAGAGGCTGTAGTGCTCTCCCTGTATGCTCCAGGATCAGCTGAGTCTCCTCATTCAGGAAAACCAGACAGCAGATCTGCCACCTCTGCTCCCACCTGTTATGTGGAGCTGATGGAGCTTGTGATACGCCAGGGCAGCATCCCGAGCACTGGTCTTGGCCTCATCCTCGAATCCCACAGTGGCCTCCCTTGCCCGCCACTGATGAGAAGTCCTCTTCAGCAACCACCGCACCAGGGCCAGCTTCTGCAGGCTGTAGCGGATCACATTCCAGGACAGGCTGCAGGCCAAGTCCAGGCGGGAAGCTGGCAGTGCTCGCCCGAGTACTGACAGGCAAGTCTGCAGGTTTGACGCAGCTGCAGCAAAATCACCCTGCAAATAACACAACGAAAGGTTCAGCAACAAAAATCGCTATCAGAGACACTTTGGGACCTCCTTGGCACTGTGAGCAAGGCAAACTCATGTGCAGGTCAGGACAAGATCTTTAGCAGAGGGACATCAACATAGAAACTGAAAACATAACAACAGTTTACACCAGCTTGAAATCTGGCCCTAAATATACTTTCTACATGTGTTTCTGATCCTGTACTCCCTGTGAGACACATCAGCACTAGATGAAAAGAGCTTCCTGCCTTGTCAAACACCATGGAAATTTCAGGGTCCCTCAACAATATGTTGCATATAATGTTATGATGTTGGGATGTTGGAGGACACAAGACAGATGATGGACTTTGGACCTGGTTAACATAACAGATTTGATAACAGGATGCCTTGGCAAAAGCAAATGGAACTTTGAAAATTAGACCTAGATTGCAAGAAGATTAAATCAAGTGGGTTTACTGGAAAAAGAAAATCCCATTAAACTCTGCAAGCAAGAGATGTTGTTATATGCCTAAGTTTGTGTATATGATTTTAACCTAATCACTGTAGTACAGATTACTAGTCTCCCTGAAATAATATATAAGCGTTTGTATCCCACAATAAAATCAGATTCTGATCACCCACTCAGTCTCCCCGTCCCTCTCCATCACCGGTATTATATTATAATGTTTCCTCAACAATAAAGAAGACTTCCAAGAGGCTAGAAGACAGCAGACAGATGCAGCAGAGGGCCAGATTCTGGACAAAACCCAAGATGTTGCTGCCAGAAACTAATACAAGATGCAGTAGCTAGCAACAAGGACAGAAATTAGGAGCCTCTTCCATTGCTTCCATGCCTCACTAACTTAAGCTGAGTAGGACAGTAATCTGCTCAGAACAACCTGGCATCAGCTTCTCTGAAATCACACAGGATGATCCACTCAAGGAACACAGTATCTTACAAGTGCCACTGCCTCACTGGGAAACATTTACCCACAATCCCATCTAAAAGATGCATTTGATGCAAAACAATGAGTCAACTTTACCCGTGCCAAATCCAGGTCCGCTTGCTTGCGGTGCCTCCAGAAGGTGACCGAGGACCTTGAGTGCAGCCGGGTCACTGGCTCTCCGTGCACAAGGAGCTTTATAAACACACTCAGTACAATCACTCCGTTCACGAGCCACAGGATTAAGGTGGGCATCACCCAACCGAACCAACCAGCTGCATCTACAAAGGATATCCCAAAAAGGAAAGTTAAAATCTAACCTGGACACCAAAAGCCTGGCAATACAACGAGTGTAGACTCCAAAGGATGGCTTGCTATGCTGGCCACGTGTTTAATCAGCTTTTGCAAAGAGTGCAGTTCAATCAGGAAATGCCTATACCAACACCTCTTAACCCAAACTCCAACCCTCAACATTCCCAACTAAATGATTATTTTAACAAGATTGATGTATTAAAAAAAATTATCAGCACTTAGTTTTCCAAGAGCTGTCTTCTGATTTTTCTGTAAGACACACTCACAGGTACTCAATACTCCAGTATCATTTTCCAATCTTTGTCAAATTTACAAAGCAACGCTGAGGAACCATATTTATCAGTCAGGAAAACAATCGCATGCCTACAGCATCCCCCCACCCTCTCCTAAGCTGAACTTTTAACTATGAATTTTAGGGAATGAGTGTATCAACAAGCCCAGTTGCAAGACTCCATAGCAACAGTGTAGTAATACTTTATGATTAAGTGACAAAAATCAGTCAGTTACTTTAAAATCAAAGTGAACATGCTTCAAAGACTGGTGAAACAGGAAGACGCCCCTTACCCTGAACTACTTTTCAAGGCTCTATGCCAAAAACCCAAGCTGCTGGGCTACAAATAGGTGCCACCTCTACCTCACCATAAAACCATGGCTGGTTTTATGCAAGAAGAACACTGGATGTGAATTGGAGCCACATCCAAGCTGGCTCTCCTTCCATGCCCTGCCCCACAGTTACTGCCCCTCCCCACCCACTAAACAAAGGTTGTACAACTCCCTGAACACACAAACCCACCCCGCTAAACCACAGCCACCCTTCACTTTGTGACCTGCAGCCTTCACAGTTGCAGGTGGCTTTTAGGGAGACTGTAAGGCTGGACATCCCCATGGCCCAAACCATGCCAGCCCTTTACCTGACTCGATGGTCAGCACATTCCTGCCGGAGCCATGGCGCACCAGGCTGTCGGACTCGGGGCTTCCTCGCGCGTCCAGGAGGGACGTCAGTGGATTGAAGGAAAGGCAAAGGAACGTGAGAGCGCACAGGAGGATTCGAGAGCGATCCACCATACCAAGCGCCACAGGAGGAGAGTCAGGCTCATCTTTAACCTTCAAGGGAATAGGAATGGAGAGAAAAAGGAGAAAACCCCCAATGTTTACCATTCTGGAGCACAAAAAATGTTTATGCCGAGGAAGGGGTAGGGAAGAAGAAGAAACAGAACATGTATAAATTTACTTTTGAGCTCCAGATCAGCAAGAACTCCAGTAAAGCTTTTCTTAAGTTAATAAGGCTGAAATATTTGACTGTCTTCAACTTCCTTCTGTGTTCAGTCATGTCAAGTATTAACTGTGACTGTATCCCTGGGTTAGGCTAGGATTAACCTTTGCTGCCCCTACTCTTTTGAGGATCTCCCAGAAAACCCACTTCTGCGATATCCATAAAACAAACCCATAAGCCCAATACAGCTAACAGCTTTTTGTTACTCTGATTACTTATGGTCTCATAAACCACAACTGATGTCATCAACCATTTCCAAGTTCTTCTGCTTTACTCACTGGACATACATATCCTGGAAAGCCTTGGGCTTCTTGAGTAATGAACATGCATTCTAAGTCCACAGAGAATGTACAGGGGCTGAAGGATAAGTACAGTTCTTCCAGCAACTAAAGGTAGGGCTCAGGTAATACAGCTCAGGAAATAGTCTCAGTAATTTAAAGAAAGATAAAACACAAACATGCACCCTCCTCACCCTTACAGAGGATCTCTAAGCCCTGCAAATCAGCTTGCCAGATGTCTGCTGGTTCCACTCTTGAGAATAAGAACTCAAATTCTGGCTCTTAAATATCCTGAAGAAGATAGCTTGAATTTGACAGTTAAAGTCACAACTACCTTTGCATCATCAAGGAGAGGGCTTCCTGGCTCTGAATCAATGGAATAGGGAGAGAAGCCAGCCGGAGATCCTGAATCAGAGGCTGGAGGAGACATCAGCAGCACATTCTGGTTGAAGTCATCAATCTTCAGGTCTACATCATTGTCAACCAGACTGCTCAGGTCAATGCCCTTCAACAGCTCTGAAAAAAATCAGAGTGCATTATGTACATGTTTCTCCATCCTGACTCCTGTCAGTAGCTCTCAGATTGGCTCAGTCATCTGGAGTAACACTGGCCACTATCAATACAACCTCTGTGAAGGATAGGAAACTACAAGATACATCCTACATCCATGCTGACTGCCTCCCATCTGCTACAGAGCCTCCACAACTTACTGTTTTTTTGGTTAGCCAGCTTCAGAACCATGTTCTCCTGCCTCAGCTTATGGTTAGCTTGCTGCAGGTATTTAATGTAGTCAATGGCTTTTCTCAGGACTCCAGACTTGTGCATCTGTAAGGAATTAAATGCACAAAAAAACAGTTTATATTAAGAGCACCAAAGGATCACTCCTGCCTGTAGGAATACCACAACCCTTTGTATTATGTGATGAAAAAAGAGCATAAAGGACTCTCAGCAGTTGCAAAGGAGCCATTAGCAGAGCATGCTCTGTGGGCAAGGTATCAAAGATGGACAAGGATGAGGTCTCTCTAAGATCTTTTAGAACAGTTCAAGAGACAGATTAACATCCAAGTTACAATGGACTTCCCACCTAGGTTTCAGCCAGAAGTAGTCTTTTGAAAGCACGACAGTTTGTAAATGAAGTGGATCAATTCTGGGACAGAACAAGCAGCCTGATCACCGATAAATTCTGAGATAAGTAGTTCCCTCCTTGCCTTACTCACTTGGCCATCTCCCTGCAAATCCCTGCTTCCAGCAGCAGTGGGCAAGTTTATCTTCTAAACATAAGCCAAAAGTACTATGAAGCCACTGCACAACACACATGTTTTCAAAAGCTTCCACTTCCAGCAATAGGTGACTTCACTAGTGCACTGATTTGCGCAGTAGGCACAGGAGGTATCAAGAATTCTACTGCCTGCCTCACCAGCACAAGGTAAAGCAAGTAGGAACAAACCCTGAATATGTGGTGCAAGAAAGCTTCCAGTATTTGAGCAAGCAGGAGTTTTTACAGCTCAGTGTCTACAGGAAATAAACTGGAAAGCTCTGTAAACCCTCATCCTTACTGCAGTCACATGGAAAAGGAAACTTAATTGAAGCAAGATCTGGTTTAGCAGAGTTATCAAAACATCCACTTGGATATTCTAGCTAGAGGGCCTATTTTAAGTTAGACCTAATTAATATAAGAACAAATGCATAAGGTATAGCTTATTTTCAAGAAACAGTACCACTAGCATAGTAAAATTAATATTTTACAGATGACCCTTCCTGAATACAATATGGAACAGAAGTGATTCTCACCAGTCTTAGCCCAACACACATGTACATGCCACTAACAGCTGCATGTACCAAATGCTTCATTTGGTAGAGCAAATGAGCACCTGCAGACAAGTATTTGTGACACCACATTTGCACTTATCTCCCATCTTTACCTTAGCATCTGTCCCCATGACGAGGTCCTTCAGCTCAATGATTTTGTCATTTATGGATGACCGGTAGCGCTTTTCAATGATGTTGTGAGTTGTTCTCCTCTCTCCTTCTTTGGGTGGTTCAGGTTGCTTGACACCGCCAGGAACTTGTTTGATAGGCACCTTTTCTTGTCCCACCATCACTGGCATTGTGGTCAAAATGGTCCCATTGCTCCCAACAAGGGTCTACAAAGACCAGGCATAACAAGTGTCAAAAGCAATCAGCCAATTTAGATAAGGTTTATGATGGCAAAAGAAGGAATAAACAGGAATCAGGAAAAGTTGGTACAGCTCAGAAAATGTGTGAGATGCCAAAATCCTTCCGTCTTTCTTGGTTGGCACAAGCATTGGCACAGCAACACAGGAAAAATCTGTCACTCTGGCTCCCACACTGGTCACTGTGGAATAGGAACATCTCTTGCTCTCCAAGCACATCAACACTTCTGCCAGTACTATGCTCTGTTCATCCACTTAAATAGAGAAAGGGACTAAAGCTCCTCCTTGTTCCCACAATCTTTACACTCCAAGTGTCAAAATCCACCTTTTCTTTGGACAAACAGTCATGAAAACAGCAACAGCCTACACTACTTCCAATGACACAAGCAACAACAATGCTGGAAAGGATCCAACTATGAAAAAACAACCTTTGGCTTGAGGAACACAGTTCAAATTGATTTGAATTTCATTAGATGAAAAAAAAAACAACCCATAAGCTATAAAAATGCCTTCATATGAGGAACTAAGACTAATGAGTGATATACAGCAGAACGGAAAGCTCAAACTTGGGCATCTAGATGTAGGACAGACCATCTAGGCAAACTAAGGCAGTATGTACTCAGAAATAAAAAATGATGAATCCCACCAGAACAGCTGCACAGAGGGGCTCCTAGGACAGCTGTAATGAAAGAAAGTTCAGACTGCTTAATCCAGCAAAGCAAGATTTAGAAAGGCACATGTGCTCTCTGAATTACACCAAGGATCAGGGAAGCAAGTAGCTATGGAGAGTAAGAGTTATTTCTGTCAAGAGACAAACATAGTAACTAGCCTAGAGCAGCTAGCCATGAGAATAAACTAGTAATGAGCAATTTCAGAAACAATTTTGACTGAAATAGTCTTCTAATTGGGATACCAAAAATTAATTCAGTTTCACTTCAAGCTGGAACTTGACAAATAAGTTAATTTAGGTCCTATACCTTTCCTTGGCTAATATCCACCTAATTTCAGTGTGTTCAAACATGCCTCAGATATACACAACCTCGTAAGCCTCAAGTTGTGTAAAAACACCATCTAAAAGCAAGCAGATTATTGAAGATTTTAGCCTGGCTGCTAATAAGAAGCCTACCATGCTATTGCAAAGCAAGTCAAAATTTAGATCCACACTGAAAAGCTTATCTCCCCCAGTAAATATTTATACAAAGATATCTGTTCAGAACATACACGACCATAATAAATGTTTCTTTGGGGGCATAAAGTTCTAAGACTTGATTAGGAGTGGAGGCCATGAAGCACAATTGCCACCTCCAACGATTATGACAAATCCTCCCTGCAAATGCCCTCTGAAAAGCAGTTTAATTAGTTGTCACAATTAATATACTACTATTAGACACTACTGAGAGGCAAAAGAAAGTTCCACAGGTATTCCAAGCAAGTTAGCTTTTGGCTTCAAGTTAAAAACTAGACTGAGTTTTTAGGTCATATTCCTCGTAGTACCAGAAAAAGTTAAACAGAAATGTGCCCTTGATCTTTGCTTACTGGCCATGGGAAGGCAGCCAAACAATACAATCTGTGTATTTACCCTTGACAGAAACAGGGTATTACTTGCCCTGGACGTGTCTACAACAGCCCTCAAACCCCCTTCTTGTCTGTGCCACTGCAGAACACTAAGGCACAAATCTCTTCCTTGTGTTCATAGGAAAGGACATCAGTGAGGAGAGGGATGGAAGGACAGCCAAGGGTACCTGCAGAGCTGTGGTCTGAATGGGAGCAGTGAGTGCTGTCAGTGCTGGGTTCTGTACTGCAGCCATAACAGGATTGCCATCTGTTTTCAGGGTTGTCAAGACCAGGGAATCCGTTTTTATGATCTGAGGTTGGACGAGAACCTAGGTTGAAAAGAGTTACAGGTGAAGAGGAGAGCAGGCTCATATTTCCCTGCTGATCTCAGTAGCCAAAGGTAATCACTGACAGAGCTGTAATAGCTTTACAACTCAGTGGCTGGCAAAAGAGCAAGGTGAGTATTCCTTTGACTTGTACCCTGCATCACCTGGATGCTTTCCAATGCAAACCCTGAGTAGGAGACAGGCTGAACAGCACTGGATAGAGTGGGGCAGAGGAACAACTGGGACAGTGGTTTTCAAATCAGTCCCCAGAAGTAAACAAGCATATAAAAACACAAAAGAGCTGATGGAAAAGCTGCAATCCCCTCTCCAGTTACACCTATAATTAGCTCTCTACATTAACTGTCTGAGTATTCAGTCTAACACAGCTAGGACACTCTGCTTTGGCAAATACCCATAGTAGCTTCTCCCTGCAATTTCACTAAAAGGATCTGTGCCTTTAACATCAAGCAGATCAAAATCCACTGTAAGTTATTTTGCTCTTATTTCTTTCAAATATCTTGTTGATTCTGAGAACACCAGAGATGGCATAATACAACTGAACCACAGCAACTTTGTCATACTGAGTCTCATAGACAAACAGTTTTCTTTAATACAAAGATGCACAAGAGTGAAAAAAAATCACATGGCACTGTTAAACAGTAAAACTATTTAAAAAAAAACACAACAGAAGAATTAAAAGAACACATTCTACTATCAACCAGTCCTTAAAAGATGTGGTAGAGGTGATGGATATGCAAAGAAGGCGGCAAAAGTCAAAGAAAGCCTGTTCAAGTAGTTTTCAACTGGGTTTGGCAGTACCAAGTTAAAAAATAATTTTAGACTGCATTTAGTTACTGTTTTACTGAAAACAGTTGCTGAGCATTGCCCAGAAGTCACATCACATCTCACAACCAGGAACTCTCACATATGACCTGCATGAAGTAAAACGCTTCTGGGACACAGGCTGGCTAGAATCTCTCAGGTTTCTAAACCTCTCAGGTTTAGAAACATTTGTGCAGAAGCAATCCTAGCCAGGATCGCCAGCCCTACAGCTTCACCACTTCTCCCCAGATGAGCCAGGGGACCAGACTCACAAAAGCACTTCCTTGTTCTGCTGGATCCCCCCCATCATGCTGCATTTTTACTTACTGGAACCTGCTGAACCTGTGGTGCAGCAACAGTCTGGACCGTGGCAGGCGTTAAGGTCTGGATGGTGCCATTGGCAGCCTGTGTCAGCACTCGCTGGGCCTGCACCGTCTGCACCTGCTGCTGGATCGTCACTGGCTGGACCTGCGAGGATGTCACCAGGCTCTGGACCTGAGGCTGGAGAACTGAAAAGCAGAAGAGATGTCAGAAATGGTCAAGAGACACACATCCCCCTCCTGGAGCCTGGAAATGCTCCTAGCATCACCCCTCTTCTTTCCACTGCTTCTTAGTAGGCAGCATTAATTTAACACATCCCACATGTTGGGAAACGTCCAGCTGCTTTGGTGCTTTCTGCAAGAGGGCACTGCACCTCGAATAGCAGCTTTCCAGGAGGCACAGAGGATCAGCTAAGAGAAAATGGAGCCAAAACCCTTTAGGCTGACAGCACAGGACTCTGCTTCAGTGGCATTATACAGGCCATCCAAACTGCACTTTCCCACTCCCCCTGGTCTTGGTCGACCACAGGATCCTATCTGTCATGTAAAGAATCAAAACCTACTGATGAGGATCAAGTCATCCAGCATTCACAAAGGAAGATTGCTAAATACTCCTACAGGTGTGTCTGCTCAGTGCAGGCACTGAGCTCCATAGTTTGGTAGATAAAATGTGCCTTCATTCCAGACTGCTGAGTGGGATAGACTGGATCTGCCCAGCATACCCATCAGTGGGAGGACAGGGTTGCCAACAATGATGTTTTAAGACATCTTTTCTTAAGCCTCCCAAGAGCCATAAGAAGGAAGGAAGGCCAGGATGGAGGAGAGGAGCAAGACAACAATTATAGTAAGAGGTTGCACAAAAACACTTAAGATCTAATTCCTGACAATTATTCGTGCTCCCCAACTCCAAAGCCACACAGGTAGGAGAAGGGACACCCCACAGGCAGCACCACAAGAAAAGGATCATCAGGCTTGTCATGGCTGAGGATGCACTTGGAGTTTGAACAGTGATGCTATTTCCTGCAAGTGCACCAGCACATCCACAGCCTGAGCATCCTGGAATCTCGTGTGCACCAGGCACACCTGTAGCCTGAGCACCTCAAGCACTACCTTGGAAGCTTGTGGCTGCATTCTGGTAGATGACTGGCTGCTGGATAATCCTGGTCTGGGGAGCAGAGCTGAAGGTTGGTGTGATCATGACGGCCTGCTGCTGGAGCTGAGGCTGCACCGAGGGCCGCGGCTGCAGGACCGGGGCCGAGCGAGGAGGGGCTGCAGGCACCGTCTGCGCCGCTTTCACCGGCAGGCTCTGGAGCTGGGGGGATGCAGGGGGTGCAGGGAAGGTCTGCAGCTGCACCTGGCTGTAGGGCCGCTGCAACTGCGGCTCCAGGGTCCCGCTGCTGCTGCCGCCGCTGCTGCTGCCCTGGAAGGTGCTGGACAAGGGATCCATGAACAGGTCTGTGAAGTCTCCTCCCTGGTTATTGACAAACTGCAGCATCTCTGCAAAACAGAAGAAAATTTGTTCAACGCTATTTTCTCACCTGCATACTTTGACACCTGCCATTTACATCATGGAATTATGGTGTGTGTACACAGAAGGGAGCTCTGGGTCCTTCAAAACCTTCAGAGAACGTCACACCAATGCAACACCTCCAGAGAGAGACCAGGATGTGGCCAGCAGCAAAGTACTGCTGCTGCTGTTCAGGGCAAAAAGTAAGACCCTCCCTCAACACTTTCCAGACAAGAAGATCCAAGCACAGACTAGAATTTAAAACCACCTCCAATATATATCTAAAATATTAGTCTTGTTCCATCACTCCCCTTCAGTCTAATCTTTGCAGAAGGAAAAAACCAAGCACCTCTACAATTCCAGCACTAACCATTCTCCTACCCAACTTCTGGGAGCTTTCAAGTCCCCTGTCTGTACTGCCCCACAGAGTATCTGGAAAAGGAAGAGACAGGATAAGAATTCATCTTATCTCTCTTTTACTTACAAGCATAACAAAAATTGGGGAAAAACCATAAAAGGAAACACCACTTTATAAAACTGTGCCAGGATAAATCCATGCATGTGTTTAAAATATCAGAATAACTTTTTCTGTTGGTTTTATGCCTGCAATCACTGCACAACAGGTTTTCTCCATCCCACCTTCTCCAGGATTTTATGAACCCACATCAAGAAGCTCCTACTGCAACACTATAGGCCTTTCCCCTAGAGGTGAACATTTCACAACCAAGAGATCATTGCTCACAAGCAGAGCTTCTTCTTCCCTCCATCTAATCCAATTTAATACCTTAAGACATGTGAATGCTTTCCCTGATCTGTGTGCAGGCAGTGGCATGAGGAATCAGACATTCTTCCCCATCCCAGGACCTGTCCCTGCTGCACTGGCTCTTCCATGGTTTTCTGAAAGTCCTTTATCTTTTCTTTCTGGAAACAGGAAAAGAGGGGACCCACAAACCTAAGAGAGATTATACCAAAATAATAAATATGGGTTTAGGAAGCAAAAAATAGATTTCTTATTTATAGGAAAAAATACAGCAAAAGGCTTCTTACACCAGGACCTTTCTCATTCACAAACCCCAAAGGATGTCACTGCTGTGATTTATGAAGTTGGTTTGAAGCAGTAAACTTTTGACGAGAAGTTTCCATGGATTATATCCCAGCAATAGGAGGGCTATTAATTTTTCAGCTCTCTGAAATGCCACCCACACATTATCCAATTAATTTGTCTGACACTCCTTTGTCTGAAACAGAGCAAAGGGATGAATCCTCCTCCAAGCCTCCTGCTCCCTCAACACACATTTCAACATATTTCTGTGACACTACCACTCTTCCCTTTGGATAGCAATCCCTCCACACCGTGACACACATTTAAGCTCTGGCCATGACCACTGCTCTCAAGAACTGGAGTCTGTTGGAGGGAAGAGCTTGGGAGGAGATGTGTCCTCCTGACCTGTTCACAACCTGACACTAAATGGGGACGCACAGCTCCCCCAGCACAAGGCAGCAGTCACCCTCAGGGACCAGGTGGACCAAACCCTTGTCTCCACTCTTCACTAGAGGAATGAAAGATATTTTTTTTTCCTAATGCATTGCTTTAACTGGCTTTCACAAAACTGTTTCAAGTTTCAACTGTTTCAAGATCAACATCTAGCTGGATATTAAACAGCTCTTCACATTCCAACTGACTTCAGCTAAGCCCATCCCAAATAACCCTCACTACAATAAAACTGATAATCCAGACTACTTCCCAAACTCTGCATTTGATGGTATTGCTATTTCACTATCAGACAACACAACTACAATTAGGGAATAAACAAATCAGATGAGATTTGCTCTGGAAGAGTAAATTCCAGCATAAGAACAAAATTTTAAGCACTGTGTTTTAAAGAATGTTGTGTTCAATGCAGCAGATTTAACAGATTCTTTTAAAAACTACTCCTGCTCTCATAAGTTAAATCACATCTTTATGACAGACTTAACTTTGACTAAATGCAAGAAGTCTTAAACTTAATTTTTAAGAATTAAGACTGCCAGGAAGTCTGGCACTCTTAATTAAAACCCACCTCTTTTAAAGGGCTCAAGAGCTTTCCTAATAACCACACACAAAAAATTAAAAGCAAGAGAAACAGACAACACCCAAAATCTAAATCTCTGCTTTTAAAAACACCTTTGCCTACCCAGAAATCAGAATATCTACACTGACTGTGAGAAACCTCAGGTGCTTCTGGAGCCATCAGTGATAAACCAAGTGTCACCAGAGCACTGGCACCGTCTGTGCCAGAGAGGTATCTCAGGCCCTAAAGCAGAGTGACCTTACTGCAGAACAAAATCCCAGCCCAACCCAAGGCTAAAAAATGTCAACAAGGTACTACAAAACCAAAACCAAGCCCACCAAGGGCTTCTGCCACTTTCATCTGCCCAGGGCCTGAACACCTGGCAGAAAGGCAAGGGCTGGGCTGCAGCTGCCTCTCCCAGGCAGTGGCTCAGCTCTCCAGCACAGAGGCTGCTCTTCCTCACACTCCTGGAGGTGCTGTGCTCTGAGAAAAACAAAGCAGCAGAGACCTCAACCTCAATAGACAGAAACAACCTCTATCCTGAACCCTGATGTGCTTTGACCTCCCAGAGACTCAGACCTTGAACTCTGATGCTGCCCAGCAGTGCCCACCAGCAGGAGATGCCCATGGCTGGTGGAACAGCTTGTGCCGGGGCAAGAGGCAAAGCCTCTTGTGCCACTCTTGTGCCCTGTCTGGAAGTATGAGCCCAGTGAGCAGTGACATCCCAGAGCACATCCACCACAAAAAACCAAAATCCATGCAACAGGCAGTGAGGAGCCCCCTCAGTCTGAACAGGAGAGGAACACCCACAAGACTTTAAAACCAAATGAAAACCCATGGAAAATTTCAAACCCTGAGATGAATCCATGATGATGCACAAAAAAAGCAGGATTGTCACGTTCTTCCCCTGCCTTCCCCGGGAAAATCCACCCCTGGAGGTGGGGAGGAAAGTGAAGCTCGTTTTCCTAAGTTACTCATGGCTCTGAATCACACCTCCCAGGGCACACCTCAGTTCAGAGCCATTGTTGGGTTTATCAATTCCTCTCAGTTTCCGTATGGAACCTGAGACCTCATTACGTGGTGCTCAAACAACAGCAAACACCTCCTCCAATGTGCACTATCAAACTTCATGAGCAATAACCAAGCCCATTGCACTCTCATAAGGTACATTCTTCTTTTATAATCAAAGAAAAAAAGGAGTATAAATTTCACCCCAAGCTATGTGGCAAATCAGTGTCAATTAGAAGCCTAAAAGTACTGGTAAAATTTCATCTCCCAGCTGCTAAACAAGGATATTTTGGACACTGCCAAAACTGAGCTCTGTTTGGGATTACAGCCCAGCAGAGCAGTGAGCTAAGGCAGGAGCTCATCTCCACCAGCCTACAGCATAGACCACACCGAGAAATGTCATTTTAAATGGGGTTTTCAGGAGCTGCTCGGTGTCGCCAAAAATACACATAAAATAGGCGTCACACGCAGGCGCTTCATTTCGCTGCACTTCGGTGGAAAACAGGGGTTTTCTCACAGGTCTGCGCTGTGCCAGCGATGCAGTAAAGTTTTAGGATGACAGGGAAAATGGGAAATTTAAGCAGTTAGAGCTGCTGGGATGCAGGAGGGCTTGGAGGCTCGGCCTGCCACGGGCACTAGTGGAGGCACAGCCTCAGCCACCGTTTAGCACCTACTTTAAAGGAGCCACGAGGAAACACGGGGGGACCGTGGGCAGCGCCGCTCGCCCCGCGGGTCAGCGGCAGGGGCAGGGGGACGGGGGCAGCGCTTTCCCCGACCCCTGCCCACGCCGGCCACCGTGGAAGGGCGGGCTCGGCAGCTCGGACCCCACACCCCCACGGCCTTCCTGCGGCTACGGCCTCCACTCCAGGCGGGCGGCAGCCCCGCGAAAGTCGCTCAGAAGCGCTCCCCTGACAGGGCAGACACGCGTGGCCGCTCCCAGGCGGGCGCTGCCCGGCGGGACGGGCTCCACTGCCCCGCCTGTTCCCACCCGGGATGGTGGCACAGGGGGATGCCCGCTCCCGCCGCGCCCGTGGCAGCCCGTACCGCGTGGGAAGCGCCCCCACCCCGAACACTCCAGAAGCACGATCCAAGGACCACCTGCCCACGCCTCCTGCCCCGGCAGCCGCGGGCCCGCGCGGGGAGACCCGGGCGCTACCCCCAACACGCGTGGGGAGCCCACGCGCGCCGTCTCCACCCCATCCCCCCGCTCCTTCCCGCGGCGCCTACCGTCGATGTCGCCCAGGGTGAGCTCGTCGCCCAGCTCAGTCAGGGTGTCCATGCTCTCGGCGGCCAGCTCGCCGCCCTCCATGGCGCAGGGCCCGCCGCCGCCCCGGGCGCTCAAGCGGAGGCTGCTGCCGCTGCCGGCGGGCGCCGCCGACCCCGCGCCATCTTGGGCCGGCCCGCGGCCCCGCCCCCGCGGCCCGGGCGCGCGCGCCCCCCGCGGTTTGTTGTCAATGAGACCAGGTCGGGCCCGGCCAATCGGCGGCCGCGGCGGCGCGTGGTGTGATGGCGCGTCAGCGATCAGCAGCTGCCATTAGCATAGCCCGCCCCGCCCCCGCGCGCTCAATATTCATGAGGGGGGCGGGGCAGCGCCTTGCGTGGGAGCGGCACCGAGGCCACCGCCCCCGCCGCCCACGGGAAACGCGGCCGGGCCAGGGCTCCCGTCCCGGGATGCCACCAGCGGAAAGGCCCGCTGCAAGGCGGCGGTAGATAGAGCATGGGGTTTGCCCTTCCCTCCGCAGCGCCCACGGAGGGGCCAACGCAGGGGCCAGCTCGACTCTCTCTGGCGTATACCCGCTCCCACCAGGAACGGGAGCAAGAGCCAGGATTCTTCTACTTAAAAAAAATAATAAAGTCAATTTTATTCAAGAAAAACCAAATGCGCCCATTGCCACCCCCTCCCCTCATTGGAGGGACTTGGCTCTGCTGTTAAAAAATCCGGGACGTTTCCCTTTCCTCAAAGGCTGTGATGCTGCCAGCCCGACGCAGAGAACCGGCTCCTTGGGGAAAGCCCCTCTGCAAGAGCCGGCAATGGTGCAAGGCCATCGGCACAGGTGAGACATCACAGCGTGGCTGTGTCGGGTCCCGGGCCAGCCCCTCAACTGTCCCCATGGCAGCCCAGACACCCGTGGAAGGTTGCAGCCCCTCAAGTTGGCTGCCTCGCTACTTCGGCCCTGCTGTTGCCACATGCCCTCGTCTGGCTGTCCTCTGACAAGGAGCTTCGGGGACTCATTCAGAGAGGATGAGCCCCAAAGAGAAGGGATGGGGCATGGGCTGCAGGACAGGCTCTCAGCAGCTTGGGGTGGTTCCCCAGCATCTTCAGCATCAGCATGGTTTGCACTACAGGCACCACTGGATGAAAAGAGGCCAAGTACTGAAATTCCTCCTGTCCAAAAAATTCACCAGGCATTTGCCTCTCTGAGGGAATGACCTGCAGTGGCCCCGAGATGCCATCGGACAGGAATAGCTGCTGCCACCAGCATTTTCAACTACGTCTGGACAATGAAACACACGTTGCTTGGTGGAACAGCCGCTGGGAAAAGGGAAGGTCCTCTCTGGCAGAGGTAGCAGCTGTGCAGAGACCAGGTAGAACCCAGTGGGGGGTGCCAATGAGATCACCCGTTTAGCTGAACAAAAAGCAAAACTGAGAGAAGCAGCATTGCTCATGAGGCTGTTTGGTGTGACGCACTCCCCAGCCCACCCGTGTTGGAGGAGGCACCTTCAGAGTGGGGTGTGCTGCAGTGAGGAGGGATCCCTGGGCTCCACCAGAGGCGTGTCCCCCACACCCTACTTCCCCAAAGGCAGCAACACCCTGACCAGGGGATGGCCCCAGAGCTGTCCTGTCTGGGCTTTACCTTTGTGGAAGGGGTACCCCACTTTAGCCCCTTTGGGCCAACCCACCAGCACCACCACGCAACCTCCACTGAACAAAAACGAAAGGCAACAAAACAAAACCCACAGCACAAATGGAAAGGGAATGGCCAGGCACTGGCCCAAAGCTGCCAAAAAGGGAGCAAGCCACTCTGTGTCCCAGTGGTGCCACCCCCACTGCAAGGCACAAGTCCCAGCCTGCTACAGCTCCGACTGTGAGCGGGAGATGCGTGGGCCCTTGCGGATCTCCTTCCGCTTCTCTTCCTTCTTCCTCCTCTTCTCTTCATCCCGCAGCGCCTTCTGAAAGGTGTCAGCACTGGGGAAAAACTGGGGGTTGACAGCAAGGAGTCAGCATTGGGGAGCACCCACAGCCTCCCAGAGGCACAACCCTCCAAACCCACCAAAGCCAACGCACGAGCCTCGCAGTCCAGGGAACTTTGAGCACAGATCAGCAAGTGACAAACAGAGTCTCAACTATGAGGCAGGTGGCCACAGAAGGGAAGAGAGGGCACCAGGTACCCAAAGTAGAGCACAGACAGGGAATTCAGTGTTTGTGTTTCAGCCATGCTTAGTCAGTGACAGGGGCTTTTGGCCACTTCCCACAAGCCAGCCATTGCATTCCCCAGTCAGCTGCCTGGAGCTGTGACACGGATGGGAAAGCCCACGAGACAAGCTGGCAGCGTTGCCATCTTACCTCTGACTGGTCCGTTTTAAAGGGATTGCGGTAATCAGGCGATTTCTCACTGATTCCTAGCTCCTGAGCCATCTGCAGAGCAAAGGGGAGACCTCACTGGGGAGTTGTGCCTCCCACTCGCATCCCCCAACTGTGTGACCGGGGTCCGCTACTCTCCCACCAGTCCCATCAATGCTCTCTGCTCTTCTCCCATCCCTCAGCTGAAGGACAGCCCCCAGACACAGTGAGGGCAGTGCCCCTCCCTTCCTTTTAGCCCAAAACCCTCAGCTCCCCCAGCCCAGCAGCAGAGAGGGGTCACGGCAGGGGGGACGAGGAGCCATACCAGCCGCAGGACCTGGGAGTGGGGTCCCTGCTCGAACACACCCGTCAGGTTGCAGAAGCCGATGCCCCAGCGGATGAGGCTGTTCCAGTTGGAGTTGCGGTCGAAGTAGTGGTGCACAATCTTGGGGAAGCGCAGGACCACGTCACCAAAGAAGGCGGTGTTCTCCACCACGTGGGAGTATGCTGTGGGGACAGCCACCAGCTCCATCAGCACAAGGTGAGGGCAAACCATTAGGCTCCCCAGTATGAACTGGTCAGAGAGGCAGCAATAGCATCCCAAACAGACAGGGAGCAGTCCAGGTCTGGTCTGGATACACAGGGGTTTTGTACCTACCCCAGCACTGATCCCAGGAAGAATGTCTGTGGTGCACCAGAACAGAAGAAAAAGGAGGAGGGTAAAAACCAGAGAGGACCTACCATCCTTTATCTTCTCATCCTGAGGGAAGGGCCCATCAGGAGGCACATCAGCAGCAATGAGCACAGCACGGGAGTCCTCCAGCACCTGCCAGAGTCCTTGATTAGTGTTTTGTCCTGCCAGTCCTGCCCTGCACCCTAGAGGTGCTGCCACAGCTGCCCCACTTTGAAACCCCATGGCATCCTCCCTTCAGGTCCTAAGGCTCACCTGCCACACGCTCCACAGAAGCCCCCAACCCTTCCCTTTTCTGCCCACCTATGTGGGCTCAGAGTGCAGCCTGCACTGTGGCTTACTTTGAAGAGTCCCTTGAGCATGATGTCAATGATTTTGTACTGCTGGTTGACGTCATTGAGCTCAATCAAGTTCTTCAGAGCGTTCATCTGGTCCTTGCGCTTCACCTCAAACAGCTTCTTATCTGCACCACTGTCAAGGGCACTGTCAACACTCTCCCACCGCACTGCTGCTCTCCCTCCTCCAGCAGGCCCCTGGCACCATCCCAGCCCCACTATGAGGTGTCTAAGGGGCAGCACGTGAGCCAGGATGGAACACAGATTTCCAGTGAACCTCTTGCCCAGACACCTCAGCAGGGCCCTTAACAGTGCTAAGAGCTTGTGAGGACCTCTCCACTTGCCAATCCATGCTCTGACTGATGGGATGGAGGAGGAACATGGAGGAAGAACATGAACTGCCACCTTCCCCATGGGTCTCCACATATTCATCTTTTCATACTTTGCCTGTTCAACAGGGGATGCTGTGTGTGCTAAGAAGGGCTTGCATTAGCCCATCATCTCCTCATGAGCAAAAAGTGCCTGTGGCACAGAGGAGACCAAGTGCCACAACCCAGGAGTCCTTTTCCACCATCCCAGTCGGTGATCCCAAAGCACTGAGATGTGCAGGCGTGCTCTGCCTTCTGGCAGGCCATGCCACTTCCAAGAGCAGACTGGGAAATGTGCTCAGTGCTCAGCACAACAGAGCAGAAAGAACACCAGGCATCACTGCCATTTCTGCTCCTGCACCAAGCCAGGCACTTGGTTAGTAAACCCAGGAGCTTGGCTAAAGCCCATCTACAGAAGGACAAAGCAGCAACTTCCCAGTGCTTCTGGATCCTCCCTTTTCCACTTTGTGCCCCTTTCCATGGTCTCTGACCCCTTCCCTGTGCATGTGCTCCCTCCAGCCTCCGTAGCCATTAGTGCATACGTGGTCATGAGGGGCAGGCTGCAGAGGATACAGATTTCCAAGCCAGAGTCTACTCTCTGTTTCTCCAGGTCTGTGAAGCTGCCCTGGGACAGCAGCAAGGCCAGCAGAAAGGGACAGATGATGAGAAAATCCATGTTGGCCACTGCAGCCTGGAAGAGAAAAGACCAACAAAACCAATGATCGTTGAGGAGACTTACCAAAAGGAGAAGTCACACAAGCCACTTGGGACCAATGGCACAATGCCCTTGGCACCAGGGTCCTTGCCCATCTCTCCCTTGTCCCCATGAGGGGTCTGAGGGATACAGTGCCCAGAGCAGAGGCACATGGTGATGCTGCAGCCAGCCTGCTGGAAGTGAAGTCCTGGTCTCCCTCTTCTCTTTACCTGCCTGCACTGCCAGCCCCAGGCATCTGACCCAGCACTGACCCAACAGAAAATTTAAGTCCTACCCTTCTTCCAAATATAACAGCTAGGTTTTTGCTGGGTTTGCGAGGCAGAGCAGCCCAACAGCCACAACAGCAGGTCTGGAAGAAAGACCGGGATCACTGAGGGGTTGAAGTCCATCACTCCTTCAAGTACCAGTGCAACCAGTTCAGCGACCTCCCCTCACCCCTTGGGGTATTGGTACCCGGACCCTTTCCCTCACTACAAGCTGGGTGCCACCACACCAAAAAACAACAGTTGGGTGACCTGGTGGTAGCTTCCCCCTCCCTCCAAACAAGTCCCTTCCCAGACAGCGTCTGAGGCTTTGCAGGGATGCTCCTGGGCAGAGCTGCTCCTGACCACAAATGTCCCTCAGACAAAATCAACGGCTGGAGGAAAAGGTCCTTGAGAATGAGGATCCTCTTGGACGGTCTATACCTGGAAAAG